AAGAAGGTCGAAAATTTGACCATGTACGAAAATTAATCAAATCGGACCCGGACGTTGTCAAGAGCCGGCGAAAAAAGAAAAGGTGGGTTTGCTCAAACTTGGAGCCGTCTGATTACGCGATTTGGCGAAACTCTTTGATTGATATAATGGAATTTTGTTGCAGGAAAAAGAAGAAGAAGGTTAAGAAAGGGAAAAGCAAAAAACGGCATCGCAGAAGCGACAGTGAAACAACAAGTACAGCCAGTGAAGGAAGTCAGGATTGTTCTGGCGATGATGAATGGATTGAAAGAAACCTGAAGAAGAATTTACCAAAAAAACTTGAGGGAAAAGAGGTCTTCACAACAGACAGTCAAGCCATGCATTCAAATGTCACTTCTTCGTCCACTTCACAGGCAAACGAACTTGACAAAAAAGAAAGATTTCAAGAACAATTGTTTGATCCTGTTCAACAAATAAGGGAAATAAGAGAGAGCATTGGAAGAAGGAATGTAATTGTGAATGAAAATGATGTAACTAAAGAAATGTCACCTGCGAGTAGGCGTGACTGTTTCCAGGCCTCTCGTTCAAGAAGTAGATCTCGTGGAAAAGAAGATGGGAGCCTGGTGAGGAGAAGGAGTGCTATAAGTAGTGGAATGAAAACAAGTGAAAGTGATGCTGCTGGTAGTGGAGAGAGTTGGGACGGAAGAAGACGAGATCGTAAAAGAAGAAGCAGCAGTTCAAGAAAAGGTTGCAGTGTTAGGAGAAGCAATAGTTCAGATAGGGATAGGTCCAGGGTAATTAGGGGAGAGAGGGGTGGAAGAAGGACAAGTAGTGATCGAAGTGGAAGAGAGCGATCAAGAAGCAGTAGTTTGAGCCGTGATAAGTCTAGGATCACGAGAGCGCGTAGGGATAGTGATGGTCGGCAGGGTACAGTTAGGGATAGAGAAGGACAACGAAGTCCAAGTAACAGTAGCACGAGGAAACCAAGTGATGGAGGTCAGGGTAGAAGACGGAGAAGTAGGGATAGAAGTGGTCAGCAAGGTTCAGTTAGGTATGATGAAAGACGGCAAAGAAGTAAAGACATTTGTGGTCAAAGAGATACGTAGGAAAAAACTTCAAGTGATGGGAATTAAACACTATATCTAAGGTTGTAGTAGACTAATAATATCATTGAACTAATGATGATATGTATTGTTTATCGCTGTCAATAATTTTGTCTGTGAATTGTCAAATATGTTCCTTGTCATCGTGACTCAAACATATATCGTGTTTGCTATCTTTCAGCAAGTGCATTATGAGCCCTTAGACTGAGACGCCTTAGTCTACATCAACATGTTTGTCTTTCCGTTTCTTCTGTCACACCTGCACCAAGTATGTTGAGAAACGTCACGAATGAAATATTAAAATGAAATACATAAAATGCCATATCAAATCTCTTCCTATACTTGAATTTATACGCCTTGATTCTTGCTCATTTGAGGCAACAACTTTTCTTTTATGAACCACACACAGTAGCTTCGAAGCTAGGCAGGAGTCACAAGACTGGTCGACGGTCCATGGTCGTTGCCAATCCTATTATACGCATTAAGTCGTTGAATCGAAGAAGGGGATAAAATATCGGAAGTAATGGATCAATGAACAAGTTCAAGTGATCGTCATGGAATAATCCTGCTTATCATAATGACGCTCTTCCCTTTTTTATCAATAAAATCACTTCCGTCTTGCGAAATATTGATAAGTGATGATGGATGGATATGCGAATGAATCATCACATCAGTCCATACTAATGCGTGTATATTTTTCATAGAACAGTCCATCAAATAGAGCGGCGTATCAGCGGCTTATTCTAGCTATAAGGAGAATTTCTACTGCCATTTTTGAAGCTGTAAAATTATTTTCGTGGAAATGAAATTACGCAGAGACAACAGTGCGTACTTTTATCGAATTGAGATGCAAGAATTAAACTTCGCTGTCAGTTATTATACAGATGAATAAGAATACGTTTTTAAGGGTCACAAGTATAGCGTCGCAGTAAAGGTTTCACATATTGAAATAATCATACACAAGACGTTGATTTTTGTGAAATGACGTGTGTTGTAAGGTGTCATGATATAGTGCGCAAAGTACGTATTCCGTTTCAAAATTCGTAAATCAAATATTTGCCAGCAAGTCGGATGTTCTAGCAGCGCCTGGAAGTCCAATATACGCGGAAAAACAGTAATATCTAATTATATAATTCATCACAGAACGTCGTTGTGGTCACGCAGCGATGTTATAGAGAGGTTATCATCAGGTTAAGTTTATAATGTCGACCGGTGAGGCTCTGAAATCTGAGTGCTATCAGACAACAATAGAAAATTCTTTGGCAGTCACAGCGGCCGCAATACAAGCACATTTTAATCTAATAAACATCGTATATGTTTGCCACTTAAAAACAGTTCATTTATACAACGTATAAACCCGAAAACCACAATGTCAATAATAGAAATTTTGTCTCCATATTACTGGCGATGCTAAGAAAGTTAACTCGCCATCCATTCAGCAGTTTTAATGCACATAGTGACTCTGTCACTGTGGACATAAGTCAATGTGCGTTAAATAATTTGATTAGAAAAATCATGAAAAAAAGTTTTTATAGTGCATTGTTACGATATTTAGATTAAAGACTGATCATGTACAAAAATACACATTACAATCTACACGTTTGGAAAATTGAACTAAGCCGCTATATTATGGCCTAATAATCCCCTTGACTGAAGTACTGCATGGGATGATCATAAAATTGTTTTTTATAGTCTATAGATAACGATGCTTACTTCAGGATTACACTAAACTGTAAGGTTTCTGTGGTTTCACTAGCCAGTCTTATCTCAGTGTGTGTGATATTTATGTAGTGACTTGTCTTCGTATATACATTGAACCCCTGGATGTTTTTCAGATTCTGGGTACGAGGTTGAGATGAAACTGCTTCCTCATCAAGGAATTAATTAGGTAAATGTCCACAAATATGTTTACAGCAATTTTGACTTATTTTTTGTATCTTTTTATGCTTTTTAAGAGCAATTTTGCGTTGGATTTTAACTTTAAGGAAGACTCTCACCAGAGGTTCAGAAGAGGAACTAGTGTCCACTTGAAATTAAATATTTTGGATCGTTTTTTCTGCCGCGTTTTTGCAAACGTGCAAACGTTTTTTCAACAAACAACAAAAGTTATGTCAACATGTGTTTCCTGAATAACACTGCTTCCGATAAACACTAGTTACAGCATGCCTTATTTGGAAAAGGTTTGTAATTTAAATGATGCGAATGATTTCCCTGTGTTTTCTATAGTAAATTTGCTCTGATACACGTCTCTGCATTTGTTTTAATAGGGAGCAGCGAAATAGCTTTATTTAGCCATAGTTTAGCCTGGACATCAAGCCGTGCATCATGGACATGGCGACAAAAGACGTTTTCAATTTGGAACGGAACTGTTCATTTGACGAGAGTTGGGTGCGACAAATGAGAAATTTGATCTTCTCAAGTGCGTCAACCATGCCTAACCCAAACATCTGCGGGAATGGCACATTTTTGACATGTCAATGGTAACCCTCCTGAGGATTTAGGAGAGTATAAATAGAGAGTCTGCTTTGGCTCTGATCAGTTGTGTGAAGAACTTCAAGTAAAGAGAAGCAAGAAAACTGAAAGTTCGTTGTTTAAAACTTTATGAAAATGTTGGCAAAGTTATCTGTTCTTGTCCTGTTCCAAATCATCGCAATCACATATGGTAAGTGTAGCCTCTTTCCTATCGTATTTACCCCAGACTCAAAGGGTCGATCAAACATATTTATTACGACCAAATAGGTGTTAAACCGACAGCTCCATAAAATATGTGCGAAATTTGTCATTTTACAAGCTCTAACGTGTTTCAAACCGTGTTCAGTTCAAACACTAAATCAAGTACAAATTGTTTAAGTACAAATTGTGCAAGAATATTGTCTTATTCGGCTTTGTTGGACAAAACGTTTGCGTAAATTTGAGACCTTTATGTGGCAATAAAAAAGTGTGACTGAGTTTTAATCATCTTCGACAAATTATCACGCATAACAAGGTAGCATGGACTCTTCAAATGGCAGTTGAGAATTTGTAGTTTCAAAAGTATATGTTTGATCTCTGTTGAGAACAATGTCAACTTCGATTGCGTGACAATAGTAGTCATAGAGGATTGAAGCAATTTCCGAGCTGTCGAGTAATTTTGGGGACAACCCGTTCGTCATATTCCGTCAAGCAGGTAATCCTGGCATCAAAGACGTAATTTGTGGTCAAACTCTTCTCTCAAGATTTCCTAATTAAGCTGATAAAAGATTTGTGTTTATATAATGGTTGTTCGTTCCTTTGCCTTGGGTTTATTCTTAGATTACCATCCCCCAAAACTAAAACATCCATTTCTCTTCATGAAGGTGGTGTACTATCCTTTGCAAACTCAGATGATGATGACGATTGCACTGGCTGGTTTGTTAATTGTACGACACACGAGGAATGCTGTGGTTACATGAGATGCATTGATGCTGGTAAGCAAATAACGTTTTTATCAGTCTCACGCATGCATATGTTTGTAAAGGCAATTGATGGATACTGGATAGCTTAGATCCAGTCAATGAATGCGTTGGGTTGAAACTTGAAAGTGGTTTCTGACATCGTTCCGTTTGTTCTTCAGGTGATCGTCAGATCTGTGCTTTTGGCACGGACAATCCACAGACTAATAATAAACCAGGCGAAGCTATCCAGCCACCGATCGACATCATAAATGATCTTGGTTGCAGTTTGTACGGACAATCTTGTAAGGATCAGAATTGCTGTGCTCCTCATGTTTGCTCTTGTAAGTACGCCGTTCATCTTGTACCTTACCTCTTCTGTTAACATGAAATATTGCTGTGATTATTGATATCATGCTTTAGGTATATAATACTTATAGTATATAATTATGTAATGTTAAATTCGAGATGAACATGTTAAGGGTTCAATTTCTCGGTGTCGGTGAAGAATGCTAATTTTCTATGCCTTTTTTAGCTGATTGGACATGTAAGGAGAAAGAAATGGATTTTTGGGGAATAGGTATACCTGGGGCTGGGTATCTTGGAAAATAAAACATCTTCCTTTCTGAGAACGGAACGACTACCATGCGTGAACCATGGCGAGCATGCATGGGTAAACGCATGATCACGCCAGTGCACTGACCTAAACATCATCTGGAAAGTGTTTTTTTAGACCTAGAAAAGTTATACCTCTTAGTTCAACATATTGTATGTACATTTAGAGTAAAATGTATGTAGAGATCAGTGGTCGAAACACTGTCTAAATGTGTGCATAATATATTATCAATGAATAATAATTTGAAACATTGAAACAAACTGACGTTGCAGTTTTGCGGGCTCGGATCTTATGCGATCCTCATTGGAATCTGAATTTTGCTCTCGCGTATTTTCAGCAAGTTCTGCGCAGTGCATTAGGCCTTATTGCTGGTATGAAATATAGATTCCGTCTACTTCCGACGTACGGCCGTTCTCAATTCGTCGCCTTTCGTAAATCCTCGATACTCGGTCCTCGGCGAATAAGCGCATCGAGGGACTTAAAGTTGGCGTGATTTCTCGCGTATTTTTTGTGTTGGTATCCATCCAGATGTTTAAGAAGATCTTCGTACGTCACTTGACAAGGCTCACAATATCCTGCGGAAAAAATATCAGTATTTTTAGAAGCAATAATTGCTTGGACTCCTTTGTCATAGTTCTTATAGCTTAATTGACCCGCAGGCCTGAGAATATAGACAATGCATTCTTTTGAAATTTAGCAAATAAACTCGCCTACTCGAAGGCTTTTGGCAATAACAATTTATTAAGATGCATCAAGTCTACGAGGCGCAAGCGAGACATAAAAACAGCCGCTGTTTGTTTGGGAATTCAAAGTTAATTTGTTTTGGCATACCGCGCTGGCTTTGTTTTGTCTGCATTTTTTATTTGCACTATGAAACCGTAGGATTAGACTGCAATATCTCTTTACGTCCACGTTGCAGACAGATAACATGGCATTAGATGTAGTTTACTTGCATAGAGGCAGCATTCATTATGCTAACCTGATTGCTTGAGCTTGCCTTTCGAAATCTTTCCCTTGTGCTTCATCTGGCTTGCTCTAGTTTCTTTGTCAAATGGACAAGGCCGGGAATCAATATGAAGTGTCGGCCATTCAACCATTTCCTTCACCAACGGTCTGTACGACCTGAAAAAACAATAATCTTTTTCTAATATATATTGTCCATGTAAACATGCCCACCTCGTGGTCTGAGATATCCCTTCATAGTTCAGTCTTACCCATGAAAATCTTCAACTTTAATAAAGGTCCCTTTAAGTCGTCTGACACGAGGTGTTTCTCTGAGCTTCTCACTAGCTTTCATTCGTTTTTCAACGTCACTCAGCCATTGATTGACAGCAGGCAGGGATTTTATTTTGATGCCCCAATTTTTTGCAGCTGTGATAATCTCATGATACTGGCAAGAATATTTCAAATTGACTTTCTTGAGAACGGAGCTAGAACGAGTTGCCTGTTAGAGGAATATATATGACAGTGAACAACGAACTACGGCCAAATTATTTACTTTTTTGTATTTCAGAATTACGAAGCTGTGTTTATATGAAGTCTTTTTCGTCCGGAATAAATGCCGGTTTTTTAATCCATCCTGAATTTGACAACCAGGGAAACCATCTTTGATAAGTAAGTCTTACTTACATATTTTGTTTTAATTGTGTTATGTCTTGATGCTTGTCTGCCTCGCGTTTCGTATTCTCTGTTTTCAAGACGTTGTTGTTCCGTTGTTATCACAAAATTTATATCTTTGTGAAAAAACTTGTCAACCACCTGTTTAAGATTTGTCACAGAATATCACAAGTATGTGAAGGCAAAAAGTGACACAGCAACAACAAATACACATCACTGAAATGCAGGCAGCGGCTGTGATCTGAGAAAGCTTGACTTACAGCTCCAAATATTCTTAATCTTTTTTCTAATCTTTGCGTCTTCGGTGAATCAGGGAAATGGATGTAAAAGGTCTGACCCCTCAGTAAGTTTCCCCATTTTTCTTTTTTATATTTTCTTGGACTTGAACTGCGAGCTGAAGGCAATTTCATTAAAGACCCCGCCTTGAGTTGTTGCGACGCGAGAAAGAGAGAAAGCGCAGCGAAGAGTTCTGTCAAGCTACTACAGTGACGTCATTAATTTAACATATTTTGCGCAATGAATCAATGCGCAGAATCACAAATTACGGTGGGCTACTGCAAAGCAATGTGAGAACAGCAAGAATTCGATGAGCTTATATAGATCATATCTAAAAGTTTATTTAAATTTACTTTTTTGTCTAGTGAACAAACTTCCCTGTGCTTGTGAAACTATGTTTGACGCGCTTGATGTTATCCACGATGCAGGATCACAAGATATGTTATATAAAATGTCCTACTTTCTCCCTAGTAGTAGTCATTTACTAATCATAATCATAATAACTGCACATAAAGAATTTCGTGTCAGTCTTGATGAATATATAAAGTATTTATGCTATATGAATACTGCGGTTCTATAAGATCCACTTCTAACTAAGAGCATTTAATGCCAATTAAAACGTTTTTAAAACGATTTACATCGTCTAGCTATTTCTCATATTTCTTTTTAAACGACAGAGATGCTTCTTGCATGTAAAAACTACAGTATGATATCATATGATAATTAAAAGTCAAAATGCAAAATATTGTTAGTACAGCATTTTTAAAGCAAAGAAATACAGGGACTAAGGTTAAGGAGATCGTAATCTGTACATCTGACACTCCGCTAGCTTCTTTGGCTGATGGCTTGCTAAGATCTTCAAAGGTTTTAATGATGGTTTCACAGCTATCCTTAATGGCATCACGTAATTCATCCACCACACTTTCCAACGCTTTTCCCGTGATCGAGTTTAACTTTTCTGTTGACTTGGAAACGCTGTTGAATTGAGATGAGAATTTAAGTTAACAATGAAATGACTTGCAATGCATGCATGGGTAGGTTGTGGAGTCAGGTAGTCGAAATGGCGTCAGGTTGTGCATTCTTGGAATATTGAGCATCTCTTTGCTGCTAAATTTAGTCAGTACTCAACAGGTGTTCCAGTAATGTGTTGTTGTTTTTTATGATAGGTAAAGCGTTTATTTTAGTTGCAGTAAACCAGTTTCTTTTTGCCCAAACCTTTAGTTTCCCTCCCGATGTTACAAACTATACCAACCGCAACTCACCATTCCATAGCTTTAGTGCAATCCTTTCTCTTGTTTTTTCATTTCAACAATATTATCATCATTTTCTGAGCAGTATATTGGCATACACGGCAACTCTCGCACAGTTTTCAGACAATTATCATCCCAAACATTATCAACTATATCGTTTGCCTTATCAAGCAAGTCTTTCACCGGTTTCATGACATTGGTTTGTGCCTGGTACACTTGGATGTAGGCTTCTGGCATCTTGAAAAATTAATAAGAGGCGATCAGTGAAGGGATTCGTAAATAATTGATTGGTATACTCAGCGTGATATACTTAAACTGTTTTGAAACGCTTACTGATGTTTCAATGATGAGGTTTCTCTGCAGTCTCCTGCAGTGCAGAGTAAAGTCCTGAGTTAATGTATATGCTATATAGCCAGTCATTCAGGAAATGAATTTGTTTAGTACGCGGGTATTTATATCGTGCCTCAATGTGTTTAAATTTAAATATTGGTGTAAGTGTAAAATGCTCTGTCTGCAGCTGCTTTTAATCAGTTGATCTTAACTGTTTTCAAACTTGAGGCCAACATATGCAAATGCATTAATTAAGTTCTCTCATGTTATTATATGTTGATATTGGTCAGTGAAAGAGCATGCTCTGAATTTCTCGACGGAAGTGGGACATTGCGATGAGATCTCTGTAACAAGTCTAACTTTTGACACCATATGAATGATTTTGACACTATATGAATGATTTTGACACTATATGAATGATTTTGACGCTATATGAATGATTTTGACGCTATATGAATGATTTTGACACTATAATGAATGATTTTGACACTATGATTTTGAATTGATGATTTTCGCTATGATAATTAGAAACCATTTTTTAAAAGGGGAACTGTTTTCCTAAATGTTTGTCATAGGCAAATTACTTGCATACAATATCAAACTATTTATAGGCTCAAAGCTCTTTGTTTGTTGTCCAAACGGATTTAGAAAAGTAAACTAAACAGAACGACTGCTATATACTAGTCAAAGTCGCATGCTTTATTGCCTGGTCATTCAGTTAACTTGTTCAAAATAGGCACCTGCGTGCTCATTGTGTGAAAAAACATATTTTGCGTACAAAACTGATCATTTTAGGATCGAAAATGAAGTCAATTCGTCCGTCATACTCCGGAAGATGCAAAAGAATATATATTGGCACTTGGCGGTGGATGAGGCCACATGATCGTTGGTACGCAGAGCAGGAATTGTACAACAAAATTCGGTCAAGTAAAAGAATTATATTTATTAAATGAGAAAAGAGACAAGACGTCTGCTTACTCATTATAAAATGTACTTGTGTTGTTTAAGTTACTGAAGCAACCAGCATTCCTTGTGAATTCTTTACGGTTGAATTCTTTTGTCTTTAAATGACTTACGGTAACAACGAACGAAAAATCTGATCTAGCTAAGTCTTGCGTTATCTTACCTTTCTGTTTGGACGGGGACAAACTCCCTCTTTAAAATCACCTCCGACTGTTTTGCATGTCATGTCAGAAAATTCTCTTTTCAGATATTTAACACATTCGGTTGTATAGTCCAAATTTTCTCGGTCCGAAATTGATGGGCATTTCTTGTAAAGGTCTGTACACACACGCCTCTCAGCACTGTCATCACCTGATGTACGGTCCTCCAGACATAACGGACTTGCGTCTTTCGAACAGATTGCATTTTTCAGTGGATCCCCGCACTTGGCAGCCTTTTCACCTTCCTTGGCCTGGTCGTCTTCTATTGTGTTTTTTTCTCCCATGTTCTTTATACTTTCAGCAACATCGTCAAAGTTGATGATGTTGTCAGTACACATTGCTTCTTTGTGTAAAACTGGGCAAAGATCTTTTTTCTTCATTGAGATCCAGTCGTCTTCCTCTGCAACAATGCCAAATACATTTGAAAGAGTAACGATCGCTACAAAAACAAGATGAATACACTTCATTTTCATATCTTGTCAGTTCAGGACTGTAAAATCAGAATCAAAAGTATATTCTGGAAAGACTTTTCTTCCAGACTGTTATCGACTCCGTGTCCAAGCAATAAATGCGGAGCTTCACAAAATTTGCATCCGAATTATTTTCTTGCATGAGTAAACACTGACATCTAGACGACGGTGGAAAGTGGTGATTGGCCAAGATTTTATTGTTTGGCACCGTTCTGTTCAAAGTAACTCTAATCTTTGTATTTTCTCTACATGGGGTAGCGATAGCTAAGGTTAAGAGCAGGCCGCAGGGAATCATTTTTGCAGAAGTCTCAACTATCTCTGTCAGATTAGTTGATACAAAACAACACTCATCACATTAAACAAGATGAAAAAGTTGTTCACTTGCTGCCATAAACAATTTCTCTTTCAAACTTAAGTTAAAAATGACACATTGCAACATGATGTTCGCGGCATGACTTTTTGAACAGCATGCAGGCATCAAGGGCGCGTTTCTAAATAAAGAAAGCACACCAGTCGTGAAATATGGGATGCAAAGAGATGCAGGCATCCTTGGCATTTTCAATCGGTCTGTTTTTCAGTATTTTAAGCAGCCTCGCTCTCATTGGGGGAGGGATGATGAACTACAACAAAGATTGCCACTGATCTATATGATCTTATATGCACGAAATGTTAATTATTAATAAGAGCATATGGGGTAACTGATGTGGTCTCGAAAAAGGTCTCAGTATCTATGGGTGCTTTCTTTTATACCGGGATACTCGACCATGGTCGAATATACCATTTTCCGGTATGCTCGACCATGGAGTGTGGCTGGTATAATATCGATGGTGGCTGACCTTCTGGTCGTCTTGAGTCCGTAATACACGTACACTGCGGACTTACCCATGGTTGCCATGACAAACTCTGACGCTTTCAAAATGGCGGCCGAAACCGAAGCAAAATATCTTGACAGAAAACGTGCTGCAGTTCGATATTTGAAAGACAACGAAGTCCCAAAACGCTTTCAAAGACTACTAAACGATGTAGTAGTTAAAAGGCCTGATGATATCTTTGGTTACATGGTATGGAATTTTCATAAAACTGGAGGTCATGCACAGGTCTTTACTAGCTCTTTTTAAAATATAAACTTTTTTAACACTTTGTTTTAGGCGGAATATTTTGCCAAGGAATCCAAACCGCCCACAATAGCAAATGTGAGTCTCAGTTTTATCAAATTTTGAACTAGTCTATTGTTTTATATCTTTGGTTAGTACCTCAGTGATATGATTTTATTAATCGATCTATTGTAGGTAATAACTTCAGAGGTCTTCAGTACCAGACGATATCCTAGTTTCCAAGTGGAAATTCAGGCTTTAGTTCATGGAAATATCATGGTTTGTTGAGGAATTATACTCATGATCATTCTCAATCAACAACATATTGTCAATTTTCCTATGCAAGGATCGGATCCTGCCGGCACCAATCAATAATAATTCAAGCACAAACTGTGGTTAATTTGAAAGCAATTTATAGTAGAACCTTATGCATGAAATCTTTACAGGCCAGGTTATCCAAGCAATATATTTCAAAGATTACCAAAACGTTTCAAATTTATTCCAGACCCTGGGTAGCTGTAAAGCACCATGGGATGGTAAACCAGCTGAAACAAAACCTGCCGTGAAGGGTAAAAGCCCTGCTCCTGTGGATTCTAAACTTTCCAAAACAGATGGACAATGTTCGCCAGAAGATCCGGAAGATGGAATACAAGCAGTTATTCAAAATATTCATGATTTTATCAAACCTTTGCTAATTGGCTGTCAACTTTATGATCAAGAAGAAATTAACAAAACTTTAGAGTAAGAGTTAGATTCTGATGTTCTGTTAGTGTGTACCAGTAGATTAAAGAAATTTAAATAAATTTAAATTTGATTTTTTCACTCTTGCTGCAAAGGGAGATCATCTCACAAAGATCGACAGAAAAAGCTCAAAGTTCAACAATGTGTGTAAAAGAAGACGTTGCATCTGAAAATGAAAAGGTGATAAAGGAGGATGAAGCTCTTCCAAACGATGAAATGGAGCCAGAGGAAGACAGCTCTACTGAACCAGCTGTTCACTTGGACATCCTGACTATATCAATGGCTCTTGTTCAGTCTGCAAGTGATTTACAAAAATGTCAGCTGTACCAATATTTGTATAAAACAATACATAATGAGGTACGGTTTGTGGTGTGTTGGTGAACATATTAGACCACATTTGATGTAAAGTTGTTTGGAGACACTGCAAAGCTGCTCCTTGGTTATATTGGAACACAAATGCATGTTCTCTGAAACAATGTGCATGTTCTCTTGGAGATAAAATGGTACAACTCTCAGAGATTGTTCTTTATTGTAGGAGCCAACCTCTCTTTCATTGCCCACACCATTGATGAATGTGTTAAGATGTGACAGAAGAACTGCAGGAAAGCTGTACATGTTCAAAGATGTGATGATTTTTATGAAGAAAAATACACCAGCAATGCAGGTTAGCAATTGTATATGTCACTGGTGGATATGGTTTTGAACTATAACTTATATGATTGTACTAATTAGTTTATTTTAATTTCCGGCTGATTTTATTTTAGTCTTTGAAAAATATGACAGAAATTTACCAACAGCTGGAGTTGATTGTACAACAAAAGGTAATTAAAGATTGAATAAACTTTATTTCAAATCTACATGCACTTAGGTGACTGGATAATTTACAACAATATTTTTAATAACTGTTATTTGAAATGTTTTTTTTATTTTAGCCAATATCAAATATGATGGCAGACAATGGTGCTTTAACTCCTTCTGTGGATAAAGCAGAACAAGGCCTTGATCTTATTCGTGATGGGATTTCTGCAGCAGGATACAGCTTTGAGGAAGATGTGGCTGTTGCCATAACCTGTGCATGTAAAGATATTTATGACAAGGTAAAACTGACCATTACTACTGTTGGGATATTCATAGCTACTATTCACGACGAACTTTTACTGCTTTAGGATAAACAGAAGTATGAGGTATCTTCAAATACGTTTAAGTCTTGTGATGAGTTGATCAACTTTTATGTTGATTTGTGTGATCATTATCCTGAGATTAAAGTTCTGGTGGATCCATTTGCTCCTGAGGTATGTTGAAATCTCACTTTTCCGCTATCACTATTTCTGCTTTTACCTTTTTCATTGAATGTAAAAATCTTATGCATCGAAGATTCTTGTTCATTTCAGGACCGTGAATCATTTGGAAAACTAAGCGAGAGAATAAGAGGAAATTGTTTTCTAATCAACCAAGAAACATTCTCTAATAATCGCAAAGTTTTTGGAAAGATTTTAAAGAAAGGATTCGTTTCTGGAAACGTTGTGAAAACAGAAAACGTATCGACAATTCACCAGTTCTTGGAACAAACGAAAACTATCGAAGATTGTTCCAGAATCCTTTTCATTTCTCCAAATGAAGTTGACACAGATGAACATTTTATAGTTGATGTGGTGAGTGAGTAGGAACGCTCGCTTCTCTATTTGTTAGAGCCATATTCTCTAAGACACAGACACGCTCATATAGTATTCATTCTTTGAAAAGGGAAAACGTAGAAAAACTGACGAAAACCCAGCAATGTTTAGAACACCGAAATGACCGAATTCTTTCTCTTTAAGAGCTTCAGAACAGAATGGAGCCGAATTCACGAGATATTTCTTATTTTTCTAGGCTGTTGCAGTTCAGGCTGATTTTCTTATACTTGGAGGTCCTGGGAGGTCAGAAAACATCGGAAAATACAACCGATTGCTGTCGATTATAAACGAGTTGAACAAACGAGATCTTCTTGTGGCTAAAGAACCAATATTACCTCACACCACAAGCCCTCAAATTGAGATTGAGACGGAGAAGAATGAAACATAGTGAACTTGAAATATTTGGATTCTTATCAACGATTTTGTTGTAAAATTTGTTATAACCTTTTTAATCATTTATACAGCTCGTTTCAGACGAGAAAAGCTCGACAGAGAGTAGTCTTTGTTTCCTAGCCTGCTTATAGATGTTTCTTTGAACTTGACTTTTGTAGTGTAAACGGATTTGGGATATCCCTTGGTTGGTATTTCTAGTGCTATCATGCAGAACAGACAAAGAGTCGAAGGGTTGTAGGTCCTTTGTTGTGCGTTCAAACAACGAAAATCTAGTTCAAAGGTTAAAAAATCCCTGACAGTGCAGATTTCGAAGAGAAAACTTTTTAATACACGAGTCTCAAAAAACCGCGCTAGTCTTTGAAATTCAAATAAGCCACAGTGTATTGTTTCTGTGACGTATCATTTATACTCAACGCTTCAGTTCAGAGCAATCGGTCTCCCCTAGGCCTGTACATGCGGTAATTAATTATAACTACAACTGCTGCTGTCAAGAAAACTAAAAGGAGACAAAAGGATAGAACAAAAGGACAAAGCAGGTAGTTAGCTAATCTGCCAACTCTGGTACCATTATAATCTAATTTCTGCATTGCATTTAACAATAAAATTTGTTGATGAATTATAACGAGCGCTCGGGTACAATCGAAGTGAAGAAACAACACGAATTTTTGGCGATGTTTGTACCAATGAAATTTGCATATTTCCAGCCAATGAGAGCACTGTATATTCCTCGATGAACAACGTAAAGCCAATAGGAAAGCAGATTTAGTGACACGACATGCACGCGTGTTCAGGATGGGCATCGCCAGTATCATTTTGTCAATGGCACATTGTATTGTGGCAGTCATTGTGAGAAGCCAAAGATTTCGCGCTTTGATGAATTTATAAAAACTAAACTAAACCAATTTGTATTTGCATCTTCAACAATTCTTATCTCTGTGTCGTCTGGTATTGCTCTGAAGTCGATCTGCAGAAGGTATTAGTTTATTTGTTGCTTTATACTGTTGATGGTACATGAGGTCGCTTTAGCCAGAGCGTTTGATGAGTTGCTTTTTGCTCTGTTTCGTTTCATTAAATGTTCTGGAAAGATTATACTTATATATCAAAGACTTACATCTTTTATATTCTCTTCCGTTTCAGATCGCAAAATCTGAAGGCCTCAACCTGGCCATTACCACGTTTGGTAATTATTATATCAATGTGTGGATTATAAACTGTGGATTATTAACTGTGGATTATTAACTGTGGATTATTACAAGCACGGCTCAACTCAAGTAAAAGGAAGACGTCATAAGGTTAGAGTAACCCCTGGTGGTGAAAAGTGCGGTATATATATTCTCGTGCCTTACCTGTCAAAATTGTGCATGTTTTAGGGAAGTTCGGTAATGTGATGAAAAAGCATATTATGAGAACTGCATGAAAAATTTGCTAGTTTTTATTTTTCCACGTATTGTGGACCACCAGGGGAAGTGTGTTGTTGTGTGCTTACGATTTATATCATGTTTGTTTGTATCATGTATCATCACGTATGTTTCATCATGAGTTTCATGATGTGTGCATGTATTTAACGCGCTGTGCGCACATTTTCAATGTGAAAATTTGCCACATGAAAATCGCCTTAAAGCGAGGTGCGCATTAAAGCGATTGAACCAACCTCGTACCGAGGGTTTTTGCGATTGGACGCGCTGATAAGTGGGCGAGTGCCCCTTAAATTTTAATATGATAATATAAATTAGGTTCGGATATAAGTCTGTAGAATGATAACTCGGCAATATTTGATAAATTATAAACGATATTTCGTGTCTATTAATACATAGGTGCGTAATATTCGTAAAACGCGCTCATACCGGCAGAGGCAGCCCAGCTTTTTAAAGTTGATCTATAGTACTATATTGAACATGATATTTTATTGCATTATATTGAAAATGAAGTTAGGAATTATATTTGTTAAATTTGAAAACTAGGATAAACACACACACGCACACAAGAATCGAAATAAAATGCATAATTATATGTGCTTATAATATACATTTAATACGTATATACATATATGTGCTTGAAAGTGTTTAGCGTCATTTTTATTTCTTTAAAAAATAATTAATTCAGTTCTAATTTAGTCCATGGGGTCCTCTATATGAATTTATTTATACTCAGTTCATTTATACTTGTAATGACTAAATTTTGAAATCAATAAAGACGAAAAACTGTTGTGACGTGTTTTTTCTCACATGACACTTGCATTAAGTCCCCGGCGGTCACCTCGTACAGTGAATTTCGCCAACTAAATGTTCTCAGTCATTTTCTTAGATTGTTACCATCTTCTTTAATTAACTTGTAATAGCTGAAGTTTGAAATCAATTTTTTTTTTACATGACACATGCACTAAGTCCCCCGGGGGTCCCCTCGTATTGTGAAATTCGTCAACTAAATCTTCTCTGTCATTTTCTTAGAATAGTATCGAATGAAGAACAAGAAGCGTTGACGTGATGGAGATCAGTCAACACTTGCATATTTACTTGAACTTTGTAATAGCTAAAGTTTGAAACAAATAAAGACTAAAAAACTTTAGCGACGTGTTTGCTGCCTGATATTGCTTCATTCGAAGGCTTACCCCTTACCATTTTGGTCAATTTTGACGACTTTTTGAACTGTTCAAAAAATGTCTTAAAATGCTAAAAATATCTTTCTAAGACTAATATCTTTCATTTTAGAGCATATTTGGTTGGTTTTTGGAACATTGAAAAAGTCGTCAATTTTGACCAAAATGGTAAGGCTTACCCCTTACCATTTTGGTCAATTTTGACGACTTTTTGAACTGTTCAAAAACGGTCTTAAAATGCTAAAAATGACTTCCTAAGACTAATATCTTTCATTTTAGAGCATATTTCGTTGGTTTTTGGAACATTGAAAAAATAGTTAAGATTGACCAAAATGGTAAGGCTTACCCCTTATCATTTTGGTCAATTTTGACGACTTTTTCCAACTGTTCAAAAACTGTCTTAAAATGCTAAAAATATCTTTCTAAGACTAATATCTTTCATTTTAGAGCATATTTGGTTGGTTTTGGAACATTGAAAAAATCGTCAAAATTGACCAAAATGGTAAGGCTTACCCCTTACCATTTTGGTCAATTTTGACGACTTTTTCAACTGTTCAAAAACTGTCTTAAAATGCTAAAAATATCTTTCTAAGAATAATATCTTTTATTTTAGAGCATATTTGGTTGGTTTTTGGAACATTGAAAAAGTCGTCAATTTTGACCAAAATGGTAAGGCTTACCCCTTACCATTTTGGTCAATTTTGACGACTTTTTGAACTGTTCAAAAACGGTCTTAAAATGCTAAAAATGACTTCCTAAGACTAATATCTTTCATTTTAGAGCATATTTCGTTGGTTTTTGGAACATTGAAAAAATAGTTAAGATTGACCAAAATGGTAAGGCTTACCCCTTATCATTTTGGTCAATTTTGACGACTTTTTCCAACTGTTCAAAAACTGTCTTAAAATGCTAAAAATATCTTTCTAAGACTAATATCTTTCATTTTAGAGCATATTTGGTTGGTTTTTGGAACATTGAAGAAATCGTCAAAATTGACCAAAATGGTAAGGCTTACCCCTTACCATTTTGGTCAATTTTGACGACTTTTTCAACTGTTCAAAAACTGTCTTAAAATGCTAAAAATATCTTTCTAAGAAATATCTTTATTTTAGAGCATATTTGGTTGGTTTTTGGAACATTGAAAAAGTCGTCAATTTTGACCAAAATGGTAAGGCTTACCCCTTACCATTTTGGTCAATTTTGACGACTTTTTGAACTGTTCAAAAACGGTCTTAAAATGCTAAAAATGACTTCCTAAGACTAATATCTTTCATTTTAGAGCATATTTCGTTGGTTTTTGGAACATTGAAAAAATAGTTAAGATTGACCAAAATGGTAAGGCTTACCCCTTATCATTTTGGTCAATTTTGACGACTTTTTCCAACTGTTCAAAAACTGTCTTAAAATGCTAAAAATATCTTTCTAAGACTAATATCTTTCATTTTAGAGCATATTTGGTTGGTTTTTGGAACATTGAAGAAATCGTCAAAATTGACCAAAATGGTAAGGCTTACCCCTTACCATTTTGGTCAATTTTGACGACTTTTTCAACTGTTCAAAAACTGTCTTAAAATGCTAAAAATCTTTCTAAGAATAATATCTTTTATTTTAGAGCATATTTGGTTGGTTTTTGGAACATTGAAAAAGTCGTCAATTTTGACCAAAATGGTAAGGCTTACCCCTTACCATTTTGGTCAATTTTGACGACTTTTTGAACTGTTCAAAAACGGTCTTAAAATGCTAAAAATGACTTCCTAAGACTAATATCTTTCATTTTAGAGCATATTTCGTTGGTTTTTGGAACATTGAAAAAAAGTTAAGATTGACCAAAATGGTAAGGCTTACCCCTTATCATTTTGGTCAATTTTGACGACTTTTTCCAACTGTTCAAAAACTGTCTTAAAATGCTAAAAATATCTTTCTAAGACTAATATCTTTCATTTTAGAGCATATTTGGTTGGTTTTGGAACATTGAAGAAATCGTCAAAATTGACCAAAATGGTAAGGCTTACCCCTTACCATTTTGGTCAATTTTGACGACTTTTTCAACTGTTCAAAAACTGTCTTAAAATGCTAAAAATATCTTTCTAAGAATAATATCTTTTATTTTAGAGCATATTTGGTTGGTTTTTGGAACATTGAAAAAGTCGTCAATTTTGACCAAAATGGTAAGGCTTACCCCTTACCATTTTGGTCAATTTTGACGACTTTTTGAACTGTTCAAAAACGGTCTTAAAATGCTAAAAATGACTTCCTAAGACTAATATCTTTCATTTTAGAGCATATTTCGTTGGTTTTTGGAACATTGAAAAAATAGTTAAGATTGACCAAAATGGTAAGGCTTACCCCTTATCATTTTGGTCAATTTTGACGACTTTTTCCAACTGTTCAAAAACTGTCTTAAAATGCTAAAAATCTTTCTAAGACTAATATCTTTCATTTTAGAGCATATTTGGTTGGTTTTTGGAACATTGAAGAAATCGTCAAAATTGACCAAAATGGTAAGGCTTACCCCTTACCATTTTGGTCAATTTTGACGACTTTTTCAACTGTTCAAAAACTGTCTTAAAATGCTAAAAATACTTTCTAAGAAAATATCTTTTATTTTAGAGCATATTTGGTTGGTTTTTGGAACATTGAAAAAGTCGTCAATTTTGACCAAAATGGTAAGGCTTACCCCTTACCATTTTGGTCAATTTTGACGACTTTTTGAACTGTTCAAAAACGGTCTTAAAATGCTAAAAATGACTTCCTAAGACTAATATCTTTCATTTTAGAGCATATTTCGTTGGTTTTTGGAACATTGAAAAAATAGTTAAGATTGACCAAAATGGTAAGGCTTACCCCTTATCATTTTGGTCAATTTGACGACTTTTTCCAACTGTTCAAAAACTGTCTTAAAATGCTAAAAATATCTTTCTAAGACTAATATCTTTCATTTTAGAGCATATTTGGTTGGTTTTTGGAACATTGAAAAAATCGTCAATTTTGACCAAAATGGTAAGGCTTACCCCTTA